CAGGCATTAAATAGACCTGTCATCCAACTGAAAGCAAAGGGGAAGCTGGCCGGCTTCCAGGAGGAGGAGCCGGAGGATGCAGTTATTGGAAAACATCTTTGTCAAGCGTCACAAAGTGGATCCAGATAAGTGGCATAAACTAGACGGATGCATAGACGATAAAGCGCTTTATGTATTTTCGAAAACGGATGCAGTTCAGCTGAGAGCAGGTGACAAATTTACATCGCTCCACCTCTTCTCTCTGATGGAACAGATGTGGAAAGTATAGTTTGGCCTGCGCCCATGGCTGGATAATGAGACAATGTGCCCCTGGGCACTGATGCGTCAAATGCGTCATAAGTGAAAGACAGTCAAACCGAAAGCCGGAGCATCATTTGTAGTCGTTTTGAGTCTCTGTGCGGTGGTTTTGTGTGTCTTTTTTACAGTGATCCTACATCTCTCTCAGAGCAGTTTCTTGTTTTGCATGTCTTTTAAGTTGTTTTGTGTGTTTTTGGGGTGAAATTTGCATCTCCTTGTGTGATTTGTGTTGTTTTGAGTCTCTCTGACGTCTTTGTAGTGATCTCACATCTCGTGTCGTTGTTTTGGTCGTTTGACATCTGAAGTAATCTTTAGTCTTGTGTGTGAATTTGCATGTGCGTGTAGTTGTTTCTTGTTTTGCATCTCTTTAGGGTAATTTCTCATTAGCTCCTTGTAGCACGTTGATGAACTTGTTTAACAGTCACTTCATATTTATCAGGCCTCTGTGTGGCTCATGAGCCTTTTACCATTTGGGCCACTCAACCTGTGCCTGTTGGGACCAGGTTTACAGTCTTTATATGGTCCATTCGCAATAGTGCAACACTACAAATGAGAACTTCAAGGTAGAGCTGGGCCGTATCACACTGTGCACGGTAACACCAGTGTAATGTTAGGGGATGATATGAAATTGAAATATCGTGATAAAATTTGAGTGAAATGCGCAGTGCTGTTGTTTCCGTCCAGTCTAATGAACATGGAGCGAGAAGCATGGTGGCAACCGAGGAGGAGGGCGACTGCAGTGCATCGACCGACACAGTAGGGCTGGACCCGAATATCGGAGTGTTCGGTTGTTGTGGTGGAGTCTGGATAGCAATTTTGAGATCCGACTAGTCGCCCGCCGCCACCACCTGATGGTGGAAACAGAACTGTGACGGCTGTCCTAAACTGGCATCAGCAGCCAAGTACTGCCTGTGCGTCCCGCCCACTTCCTTCCCCCCGTCGGTCCGAGTATTCACCCACTGCTATACACCCACCAAGTATGAAACCGTCCATACAGTTTTGAAGTATTTTGTCTAGCGACAATTATATCCTCAGTTATATTGTTATCGCAAATTTTCTCCTTCACTTGTGTCCGTTCTGCTCCGGTCTTTGTGCATCTGTTTCCACGATTCAATGGACTGAAGTCGACCCATAGATGGACGCGAGCAGAGCAACAGAGAGACGATAACGGCCATTCAGTTTATCTTAGAACACATGGAGTAAGGGTGGTGGCTGGATTATTTTTCGTTGATTCTCCTGTAGCCAGATAACCTTTGTGGTTGTAAATGTAGATGAACGGAAGAGGCGACGTGAACATAGTGCAGTGGTCTCAGTAACTCATAGATGTAAGCTTGCTACATCATCAGTCAAAGATAGCTAACGTCCTCAAACGCAAATTAAAGAACATCTGTGTTCAGAGCAATAAATGTTGGTCAAGAGTTCAGAGCATCGATATGTGACCATTTATTTGCCGTGTGGGCGTCTTCGCAGTGATTACTGAGGCGTCTACGGAGCTGTAAGTCTAAACTGGGACACTCGCCTTGAAGGGATGCCAAGTTTGCCTCAAGATTATGCTCGAGTATTATAAAAGACGAAGAACAAGTTAATTACATTTTCTTTCTTAAAGTATTTTCAGAGAACTTCTAATCAAACTTTTTTTGTCCTCCGTAGCTTCGCCGCATTTTGTCACAAGCAGAATATAACTCGCCGGGCTTTAGGAATTGCTGTCGTTGTAGCCCGGCATCAACGAGGCTATTTGTGTGTGTGCGGCGCCTGTCAAAAGATATGTTTGGGTGGGTGTGTGGAGGGGAAAGTGGGGTGGTGGTGGTGTTAGGGGAGGATATGTAGGTCGCATAGTGATTTGGGTCAAAAGCATCCAGAGATTAACCTTTACCCCCTGTCCTCCTCTGCTATCTTCCCAGCCTCACATGTTCTGCATGAGTGTGTGCAGGTGGCAGCCTGCTAACCAACGCTTCCCTCTGACTTCCACGATCGTGGTTCAAGGTTAAACCGGGAAGCCGAAGGGACGCAAAACAAAAGGTGGGAGAAAGAGGTGAGCGGGGAGATACGACAGAGGAGGATAAATAAGAGGCAGGGAGAGACAGATGATTGGAAACAGAGTGAGAGACTCTTCTTGCCTCTATAGCTACTGCATTGTAAATAGAGGCTAAAAATAGAAAGGAACAGGCAGAGCTCCTCTGACCAGCTGAGAGTGGAGACTAAGAAAGAAAGAAGCAGCAGCTCCTTGTCGTTAAACGGAGGAGGAGATGCTGCTGCTGCTGCTGCTGCTGCTGAGGGATAATAAATGCCAGATGCTGACAGATGATGTTTGAGCTTTTACAACCGGCTGATCCGTTCGGCACATCAATGAGCTCTGAAGTGGCTGGGACCAGTCCAGCTCATATCGCACCAGAGCGGCCCTGTCTGCATGGGGGGAAAAACATCCGATCAATGGGATGTGATCGATACAGAACTGGACTGGATGGAATTCGCGTGTATGTCTGTGGGTGTGAGTATGCCAGATACCAACAGGGTGGAAAACAGATTGAGGAGCAGGGGTGGGGCCGGAGGGGGCCACGAACCAACCCACCCCGACACAGTGGTGTTGGAAAGAAAAAAACTGCCATAACGAGAGGAAAGACTGGAAAAGATGGGCCCGAAAGAGATGCAAATGATCACACAGGGTCACAAAACAACCGCCGCAAAAAGAGATGAAGCACAAGATGTGCAAAATGACAACAAAGAGTTGATCCACCAAAGACACAACAGCCATAATGAGACAACAAAAGCTATGATGAGATGCAAAATAAGCACCAGGAGAGTCAAAACGACCACTAAGACGTAAAACAAATACCAAGATATGTAAATAACGACATAAAGACAAAACTGTGATTATAGGATTCAAAACAACCACAGAGAGACTTGAAACAGCTGCAAACAGATGCACAATGGCCACCGAGAGACACAAAACAACCAAAACGAGATACTAATTAAATACCACGGGATGCAAAATGACCCCAAAGAGATGAAAATCGACAACAGGGAGACAATAGAGGACAACAAACGAACGAAACAACGACCACAAATAGAAGCAAAACAACTACAAAGAGAAGCAAAAACAACTCTGAAGAGATGCAAAATAAGCACAGGTGACACACGACAACCACAACGAGACATAAGTCAAATCCCACGGGATGCAAAATGGCCCCAAAGGGATGTAAAACGGCATCAAGCAAACAATAAATGACAAACAAACAAAACAACGACCACAATGAGACACAAAAACAACCCCAGAGATGCAGTATTAACCACAAAGGGATGTAAAAGACGCACAGGACACCAATGAAATACCACGGGATGCAAAATGACCCCAAGGGGATGGAAAAACGACATCAAGGAGACACTAAATGACAACAAACGAACGAAACAACGACCACAAAGAGAAGCCAAACAACCACAAAGAGAAGCAAAAACAACCCCGAAGAGATGCAAAATAACCACAAGGGGAAGCAAAACAACCATTAGACACCAATCAAACACCACGGGATGCAAAATGACCCCAAAGAAATGAAAAGTGGCATCAAGGAGACACTAAATGACAAAAAACGAACGAAACAATGACCACAAAGAGAAGCAAAAACAACCCTGAAGAGATGTAAAACAACCACAAGGGGAAGCAAAACAAGCATTAGACACCAATCAAACAACACGGGATGCAAAATGACCCCAAAGAGATGAAAAACGGCATCAAGGAGACACTAAATGACGAAAAACGAACAAAAAACAACCCCAAGAGACGTAAAATACCCACAAATAGATGTCAAGCAACACAAGGCCACCACAACGAGACGCAAATCAAATACCACGGGATGCAAAATGGCCTCAAAGAGATGAAAAACAATCACAACAGACAAACTAAACGACCACAAGACAACCACCGAGGGGACGCACATCAAATACGATGGGATGCAAATAGACCAGAAGGAGATGAGAACAACGAGAAGATGCAAAGAGGCGTGAAGCAGCCACTCAGCGATCACCTTTGAGGCTGTATCTAGGTGGGGTTGGGAGCCGTTTACATGTCCAGGGGCCCGTTTTCTCATCATCTATAAATGGCTCCGGAGTCACAGGGAGCAGCTATTTATTGATATCGCTGCATATTGGAATATTTAAATTCATTCATCATGCAGAACCGCTTGTGATGCATTATTGCCGAGAACAACTTTCCAGTCACTTTGCAAACGCTGCCCCAAAACTACAAGCATCTTTAAAAACGGGGGTCACATGAGGCCAGAGGAGCAGGAGGAAGACGGATGGATGAGGAGGAGGAGGAGGAGGAGGAGGAAGTGCAGAGGAGAAGTTTTATGTAACATTCGTGGGTTTCCATATGGCCTGGTACCAAGGTGCCTGTGCGTTGAAGGGGTGGTGGTGGTGCTGCTGGTGGTGGGGTAGGTGGAGGCGGACAGAAGTATGAAATGGTCCACCCCAGATTTTTGTTGCACTTCTGGTGGAGTGGAGCTAAAATGAAGAGCTGCACGGATAAATCCGGTGGAAACGGCAGCAGATGGATCATTCTGAGGTCAATTTGACCTCCATGTTTTATGCGAAAATGACTTATTGCCTCAGAAACGCCTGGAACGGTGCAATAAAGACGCATGAGGAAGGGGGGGAGGAAATAAAGGGGCTAGAATCTCATAATGTTTCGATTCAGTCGCATCTCTTACCTCACGGATGCGCCGGTGGAGGCTGTTGCTCTTTTTTTTTTTCCTCTCTCTCTCTCTCCAAGTCTGACCGGTTGCAGTTAAACCGGAGGGACGCCGCTGCTGCTGGACCGAAATTTCCTGGCTGTATAATTTAAAAAATAAAAAAATAAAAAAAAGGAAAACAAATCACTTTCAGGTCTTGTTGGAGGGAGGCGGTGCGCTGTCGGTATCCAAAGATCAAGGATTAAAATCCGCAGTCTCCGGAGTTAAAGAGAGAAAAAAACAAAAACCCCGAAGAAAACAGACGATGACGAGCAGTCTGAGGCTGTCTGGACGAGCTGCTGGAGACTCTTGTTGCCCGGTAGCCGGTAGTCCCGGTTTGCTGCTGCTGCTGCTGCTGCCGCCTGAGAGAATGAACCGGGAAGAGGAGGAGGAGGAGGAGGAGGAGGAGGACAAGTTAACCAACTGGTCCGGTGCGCGCTCCGCCGTTCACTGGCCGCCGCTCTGCTGGGATCCTCCTATATGAGCGTGCGTGCGTGCGCATCTGAGAAGAGAATGTGTGTGTGTGTGTGTGTGTGTGTGTGTGTGCAGAGAGTTGACCAGGCGAGCAGGTACAGACATGTAAGGAAAGACTTCAACCCGCGTGTGTGTGTGTGTGTGTGTGTGTGGACCCTTTTTTTTTTTTTTTTGCCCTCATTGCCAGATTCTGGATTTCTGCCCTAATATGGCCACTTATAGCTCCATCCACAGTAGGCAGATTTAGGTTTCCACTCAGAGGGGAAAAAAGAAAAAAAATCAACAACCCACATATTTGGGGTGGTTGTATGTGACATTTAAGAAAAGCTAGAGTTTGTTTGATCTCACCAGGGAGAGAGCGAATACAGATGTTTGGCGTTCTTTTTGCCGGTTGTTGGTATTTTCATTGACAGATTATCGATTAGGGATGGACCATATACCATGCACTGTAATGTTAGGGGATGATAAAATTTGTGCAGTGCCGTTGTTTTGGTCCGGTCTAATGCACATGGAGTGAGAAGCATGGCAGCAACCGAGGAGGAGGGTGACTGCAGTGCATCGACCAACACAGTAGGGCTGAACCCAAATATCGGGATATTCGGTCGTTGTGGTGGTGTCCAGATAGCAATTTTGAGATCCGACTATTCGCCCACCACCCACCGCTACCCTCTTCCCCCCGCCGCCGCCACCGCTACCCCCACCCGATGGTGGAAACAGAACTGTGACCGCTATCCTAAACTGGCATCAGCAGCCAAGTACTGCCTGTGTGTCCCGCCCACTTCCACCCCATCGGTCCAAATATTCCCCCCACCCCCCAACTATGACATTATTTGCACCAATAAAGTTGTGCAGTTTTGAAATATTTCATCTAGCGTCATCAGTTATATCGTTATCGCAAATTTTGTCATTTATATCGCGCTAAATATTTTTGCTCATATCACCCCGCCCCATTATCACTATTTCAGGTCCGATGCGGCCTCCTCAGGTCTCAGAAATGCAAAAACTGAACACAAACCAGGACATTAGCTACTCAAACAGCCACTAAAGCTATGCTAACTGCTAGCAGCTAATTTACAAGGTAGCCACGAATTACCCTCAAACAGTCTGGTAAATAACAATAATTAGTAATGCTTGGGATGTGGGCTCACATTCACACCTACAGACACTTTAGAATCACCAATTAACCTCAACATGTTTTTGGACCTTGTGGGAGGAAGCCAGAGAACCCGGAGAGAACCCACGCTGCACGGGGAGAACATGGAGACTCCACGCAGAAAGATCCCAGGTGTCCTCACCGTGGCGCAAACTGGCGACCTTCTTGGTGTGAGGCAACGATGCTAACCACTGAGCCACCTTGCAGCCCGCTAAGGAACCAAACATTAAAATATTTAAATGTACCTTTAGAAAAACTTAAGGTCTTTTCTGTCATCAGCCAAATTAGCTTTCCTAATAAATGCTGTATGAAAGTAATTAGCGTTACTGCTGTATGCTGTTCTTATGTACGTCAAAGTTAAAAGCCAGAGAGTTTTTATGTCTGGCTACAGTCACAGTTGCATTCTTTTCTTTTCTGTAGAAAACCTTCCAAACAAAAACAGACCCACTTGCGCTCATCACCCAAACCCGTATCATAATTCAGACACTTCTGGAGCAGATCTGCCAGAGAGCAGACGGCGCACCCATAAAGGAGATGTTCTAAATCCTCCTCTTCCTCTCTGCACATCGTATTCTCCCTGCTGTACCTGTTTGTACTCATTTGGGCCAAGATGACGCCCTTGATCACCCGTCTGTGTCTGATTTTGTCTTCAGCCAAATGTGGATCAACTTTTATCAAAGAGATATTTTTAGCCGTGTTTGTTCTGCTGTTGGTGCTTTTCAGGAATGTTTTCTACCAACACAGGC